CTTCACCGTTCAGCTTCAAATTGAAGAAAAATTTGCGGATCGCATCAAGAGGAGGACGTTTCGACGGGAAGAAACCAACTAACGAAAAACGAAAAGGAACAACCAAATCCCTAATTTCCTCATTAGAAACCCAAAGAGATGGAAGACCACGAAAGGTAGAAGGCCTCAAATCAGGAAAAGAGGAAGACGATCCTGCTAGCGCTTGAAGAAAAGATTTAGAGTGAGAGATCCCCCGAATAAACCGGGATCTTTCAATTTGATCGGAGCCATACCGGTAAAACCGGAAGAAAATAAAAACAACAAACCCCAGTAACACAGAGAAGAGAAATGAAAAACTTTCCAGAAGAAACGGACCTGAAACCCCCGCCGGCGGGGGCCAAAGCCGAAACCTTAGCCGCCAGAGGAGCAGCGCGAGGGGGAGCTGACGAGAACTGATTGCTACATCAGTACTTAATTTTTTTTCTTTTAATACACAACTAATAGAATAACTAATTAGGTTGTCCTAAAGAATCATTAGAGCAAATTTTACACCAAAAAGGTAATTAGCTCACAACTAATTAAATTTTAATGCTGAAGGATTGCCCAACCGATGCAAATCCTCTTTAATTTTCTGCTTAATTTATCTAATTAATTATAACTAACAACTGAAGTTAGGATTAAGTCTTTTGGAGAATATTGTCATTATATAATTTAATATAGACTTATTTAGAAAGTTAGCTTTCTACGATTGAATTGTCACAACTGATAGCAGATGAAAAAACGCCAAGCAGCTTGCCCTCACTGAGGTTGATTTCTAGACTACCTGGAGTAAAAAATAAGATACAATAGGAAGCTATAATTAAAGAATATTTTATATTACCCTAATGTTGGCTTTGATGATGCATTTAATCATGGGGAATTTACATGCATGCCACAAATTTTGATGCATTTACTTATCTAACATCTAAATTTTTATATTTATGTATATAACACTTTAGATTCTGTTTGAGATGACTGTAGTTTTTTATACAGTTGATTGTAAATTGTTGCGGGGAAAACAACTTAGCTATTGTGGTCGTAAAAATAGCTTTTCACGAGAAAGTTTTTTGAAAAATAATGAGAAAGCAGCAAGAAAATAATATCCAAATAAAATTGTGGCGGTTGTTTGAGAAGCAAAGCAGCGAGAAAGCTATCCCAAATATTATGCTCATGTAAATCATGCATCAATAGATACTTTCATTTAATGATGATGCAAAGGACCACATTATGTCTAATGGAGTTTTCATCAGATATATTGTATGAAACTGACATGGGGAGGATTTATACCTTATATGTTTCAAGGTGTTGGAAATGAAGATGTTGGTAGTGCCCTTGATTTTATATTACATACTAGTCAAATTGAGAAACCCAATATAGATGATATTGAAAGATTATTCAGAGATACATTTCATACAATCCATGAATCAATTAACTTAACGGATCAACAACATTCAAGATTTAATTAATGATGGTGAAAAACTCTCAAAGTTATTAGGTGTAGAAGTAGAATTGTATCTTGAATGTAAGGTATTTTCAAAGCTATCATTCATATTACACCTTGTTTTTTTTAATGTATAAATTTTTGTACTATATAATCTTTCGATTTGATTTTAGGGTTATTAATCAAAGCCTTTCCTGAGGGACTTCATTGAATAAAAATATATATGAGGTTAAGAAATTCATGAAGGCTTTCGATTTTGGTTATACAAAGATACATGCAAACCCTAACGATTACATGTTATACTGGGGTGATACATCTGATCAAAATGTATACACAACTTGTAGAGTATCAAGATGGGCTCCAAACCAAAGAGTAATATTGCACAAGGAAAGAAGACTCTAAAGAAGGCTACCAAAGTTGTTCAATATTTTCCTTTGATTCATAGACTATAAAGATTATTTAAAACAAAAAAACCTGCAGATGATCGAAATGATATGGCATGCTATGCAACTAAATAGGGATATCATGTTATAACACTAAGCTGATGGAGAAGCATACAAATAATTCAATTTTTAATATCCCAATTTTGTCGTTGATCCATGTAATGTCCATCTTGACTTAGCTGCTAAAGGATTTAATCCTTTCAAATTTATGAGCAGTACATACAACATTAATTTGGCATGTGCTTTTTGTGTCATATAATATGCCTCCGTGGAGTGGAATGAAGTGATCATCCTTTATTCTTATTGTCAAAATTTTAGGCAGAAAAATCGTCCGGTAATTAAGTAAGTTTTACGATAAAGAATTCCGTCGAAAAATCTGCAGTGTTAATTTATTATCGAGGGAATTTCTAGCATTATTTTTTTTGTAGACTATCCACAGGAAATTTAATGCTGATTTTCCTTTAGTGTAACAAAAGATAGGACATAACTCCGCCGCCTTTGTCAGCCGGAGGGGTCTTTCTATGGCAAAAAAACTTTTGGATCCTGGGTTCCTCGCGGGTAAGCAACCTAAATCTTTTAGAGATGCTTTATCTGGCTCAACTGATGCTAACCTATTTCCGGATTTTCGCATTTCTTCGAATCGTGGTATGCCCTCTTTATGGTTTTCGGAAGAGGAATTTCTTCATCTTGCTCATTCAATTAAAAAAAATCACATTCAATTTCTAGCTCACCAGTCCACCATTTCTTAAAGACCAGACATATCATTCTATTTCATCCATATTGATCATTTTTACTACTACCTTATGCACAGCCACCCACATACTACCATTATTTCTATATGCAACGAGGTTAATACTTTGGGACTTGTAATTTCAGAAATTCAAGATAATAAGATTAATAGTTTTTTTTTTTATCGAAAACATATTACAATTTTCAACAGGCATCCCTTGCCGAAACCCATAAAGATAAATGAAAATTTTAGTAGAATAAAGCTGACTACATAATATACAAATTTAGCACTACCAAAAATATGACTATCGTAACACTGATTTTAAGTTATCCCGGCACTAATTTCTTCGTAGTAGTTTTAAAACTGCTGCACCCACGGTGTAATTGTTATACGTTGCAACGACATTTCATAGCGGTTTAAGGACACCAGTGAGGTAGATTGGATGAAGTGCTAGATTAATCAGTGATTATAATCGATGAAAATCTACATATTTGTAGCTGTCATAATCGTCACAAATAGTTTCAAAATAAACTGATTTTCAAAATTGTGGCGGTTATACAATTCTGATATGTTGTAGCGGTTATAACCACCACAAAACTCCATTTTTTTTTTAAATATAGAATGAGAATGCATATGTTGATCAGATATGCATATACATACATAAAAAACTAATTAATCAAAATTGATCTGATATAAATATACATAACAACATCGATTGCCTACCTGTAATTAGGGGTGTCAAATTCGGGTCACGGGTCGAACCCGAAATTGACCAGGGTTCAAATGGGTCAACCCTAACCCGACTCGGGTATGTAAATGGGTCGAAAATCTCGAATTTTCGTGTCGTGTCAAATATTGACACCCCTACGTAAAAAATTCAAATTATCTGAATTTGATTTACTCTACCTTATTAACACTTGCAACCAAACAAGTTCCAAGTTTTTCATATCTGCCTACTGAAACAATACAATCACGACAACCAATTACATCTTACAATATTAGCACCACTTCTTACTATTCAAATAATTAAAAGAACTCATTATTTTAACAATACCATCAGAACCTTCATTCATACCTCAAGCAAGCTAAAAAACTATGCCTAATTAGGTAAAAATATCCAATTGATTCACTAATCATACAATGCCTAAATTAGGCTTCTAATAGCCAGTAAGATATATAAATTCCGTCACCAGAAAAGAAAGAAAGAAAAAAAATTGAAGTATTGGCAGGTTAACTTGCGCCATTAGTAAACACTACATGAAGTTCATTGATTCACTTTTACATACGTGATAGCCATAATGGGCAGCAAATGTTGAATAATTCGACATCGATACACTTCAAAGAGCTAGGGTTACAATCAATTCCGAACCCTAAATACTATATCATTCAAATTGAAATTACAGAAAGATAAAATAATAATAATAATAATAATAAATAGTAAGTCACACTAACTGATATGAAATTACAAAAGAGAAGAAGCTTGGCGGTTTCAATCAATTCCGAACCCTAGACAGCACGTGCGTGAGCTCAAGTTAGGGGACAAACAGGCCAAGGAGAGGAAGAGCTAGTTGTGAGCGGACGGGCTTTAGGCTTTGAAGCAGTTGTTGTGTACTCTCTGATCAAAGGCGCACGAGGAGGGTGAATCCATGCAAACAGGAAGAGAGAGAGCTGAGCGATTCTAGAGAGGAGGATCGAGATGCGAGCGTTGAACTAGGATAAAAGCAAAGGTTTCCGTGTGGGTTATACCAATGGTATTTGTACCGGTTAAAACCGGTGCAAATAAAAGTGGTCAAAACCACATCAAAAAGAAGTTTTGATGGTAGTTTTTAAACAGCCCAGCCCCTAACGATAGGAAAAATTATATTTTCTAGTAGTGCAGGAGACGGTTTTTTTCTAGTTTCTTAAAGCAGCTTTCTAGTACAAGAATTAAATTTCTTGTACTAGAAAGCTTCTTTAAGAAGAAGTAATAAAAGCAGTCTCAAACAAAGCCTTAATGAGCATAATTTATAAATTAACAATTAATATAAAAAAATGAAAAGTAATGCTTCAATTCTTTAGAGAAATAGGGTGTACATGATGATGTAATTTTTAAAATTGGCATTAGATGATTAAAAAAAAATATTTCAGATATGCTGTAAAATAAGAGATTATCATAAATAAAGTAAAAAATAAATTTTTTTAAAGATATAATTAGGCACATTGTATTATTTGACCAAGCAGGGTAGAAGCTAAAATACTCACATGAATTTTTGATAAGGTAATAATAATGAAGATTCAGAAAACCGACTTCAAATAGTTAGGATAAAGCTAATAACATTCTCTCTTATTTCAGCTGGTGACTGTCTTTTCTATCCTCCTTTTTCTCATCATTTCTACTTCCTTATCATACTCTTAAAATTGCAGCAAATTATAAAATGCAATTACCTTACAATAATTTATATAACTCTGAAGTCACATTTTAGATCCAAATTAATTAATTAACTCATATGGTTAACAATTGAACCTTACAAATATGCATAGAAAATCTTATTCCATGTATCAGGAACTCCAGGCAAGCACCAATGAATACAATCAGCATAGTTCTGTGGATCAGCCTTCTGCTCTTCTGTAAATACTATCCCTTCTGTCTCAGTATAAACTGAAGTGTGGCCATCTTTCCTGTAATCTGAGAGCTGAGTTATATTTATGAAAGTTATGGGTACTTTCATTCTCTCAACAATGCTTGAAATAACCTCCATTATTCTCTTGTCAGAACCACTTCCCCAATATCCTCTCTTCATCACTGGTTTTGTTTCATTGTAGCATCGAATGCCGTGCTTTCGATTCCAATCTATGCTTCTGAATTTTTTTTTCTCCATTTAGTAGTTAGTTCTATTTTGTAGCAGAAAGGATAAGGAGGAATAATTACCTCATGTGGGTTGGAGAAGCTGTAGTGAAAAATATTCTTGTATTGGTTTGATTTAGATTAGAGTCAATCCAATTCGCCCATGTTTTCAATCCAATTCTGTAAGCTATAACAGCATCAAACTCTTCATAACCTTCTTCTCCATTGGTAAATGATCCCCACCTGAAAGAAACATACAAGAAAAATCAGTTCTTTGTCATTTGCTAGTCCTAGCTAGTCAGTAGGCATTGCCAAGAGTAATCAGAATCATTATGTTATCAAATCAATATTATCATATATGTTAATACTTATTAGGAATATATACTATCTTTCTTAGCATGATAATGGATCAAGTATAGCTAACTTATTAATCAACATAGGATCGAGCGGCGTGTAGCTAAGCCTAAATTAGCACAAGATTAATTTGAATGACTTTTAGTTGATCTTATGTATAGATTGGATCTACTCGAGATCTTATCGTTAACATCCCTATAAACAAGTTCAAATTGATTCTTACAATGACTTTATCTTGTATCCGCTCATCCACCACACATAAGTATTGAAGACCAATATATCCACTCCAATCCAATGATGACCATGCTTGGAGATTGAGTCCACTCTAAGAATCCTTTTCGATACATCCGAGATGACTTTTGTATCCGAATTTGATTGAACTAGAAACGGTGCCCAATAGAACTCGATCGACGCATTGTATTCCTAATACAAACATGATATTTCTTTTGTATTATCAAAATAATCATTTGCATAAGGTATTTTCATTCTATAAATGATTAGGATAGAATTACCACAGCTCTGAATACAGATAAAGTTGTAGTTCTATTCATAGATTTTTTCTCAAATGGTATATGAGACTCCACCATGCATACAAGTGATTGCCATTGCCCCCTCTGCAATGAGTCTCCGACAAACATAAGCCTTTTTCCTCTAAGTTTCTCAAGAAGAACTATTGCATTAAACCTGCAGAAAAATGGTTAAAATATGCTCTACATCATCAACTAATTAACAATAGAGATTAAGGAGAAAAATCTCCACCCATTAACAACATGGCCATTTTGACTTTTTTCTCAATAGTAAATATACTAACTCTGGCAATATACAATCATCAAGCTGCCATTCCCAGAACAAGTAATCTCGATCAGGCCGCCCATTCCTCAAACAAGCTACTTGTATATCTACATATGGGCAATTCATATCAGTATAATAAAGCATTGATGAACTATTGAAGATCCATTTCCCCTTCTCTATTCTGCACTGTTTCGGATTGAAATAAATCTTATCTTCCTTAATATAGCGAGCTTTATTGCTTTGTTTCTCTTTCTCCTCTGATCAAACATACATAAATCAGTAGCAAGTGTGATTGCGTCTGAACATGTTTACAAGAATTTGATATTAAAGGAGAAAGTACCAGTGATTTTTCGAAGTTCTTCAGTGAAGATTAGACCTGTGAAGGCCAAAGCACATATGACAATGACCATGATTGAGAGCGGAAATCTTCCTCTTGGAATCTTCATGTAAATATTAAGAAGAATGAAGAACTTCAAGTAGTGAAGTCTTCCTTCTTCCTTTCTTTATCCAGTATGAGAATTTAGAGCTTTGTTTAAACAACTTTTTTTTTTTTGGGAGTAAGAGTGAAGTTAAAGAAACCACTACTCATTTGCTTTCAAAAGCCTTTTTGGAGTTGAGTTTGCTTTAGATTGGTAGCTTATGATAGCAATATAAAGTGGAATTTCTCCAACCCATTTACTTTTGCTTACAGTACATTTTAGTAGGTTTTCGGGCCATCTTCTTTTGATACTTATCACTCATCGGATTATTATTAATAATGTTTACACTAACGAAAACTTTGGAGAGCTAATTCTGATTTGATCGAAATGAGTTTCTATTGATTACATTAGTTTTAAGATGAGTAAAATAATCCGTTGAACAATTATTTTTTATGTTACATTTATTTCAAACCAAATTCAGGTTTCATTTGAAATAGTTTTTTATAACATTTTTTTTGCTACTTAAAAAAAAAATTATACTAGAAATTACTTTAGAAAACAGTAAAAAAACTATCCCAAACGAAGCCTCCATTATTTAAAACTTCATTTCATCTTTCATTTTTTATAAAATTCTATCTCCTTAAAACTTTTAATTCTCTACTTTCCAACAATTTATGTGCCTCAATACTAAAAAAAAGATGTCTTTTTAAGATAACCAAATGACCATTTTAATAATCTTTATTCTCTGATACATTTTGTTTGAATTTGCCAATGTAGAAAGTAAATTGAACTCATTCTATAAAAGAATAAATAAAATGATAAAAGAACAATTAGCAACAACTCAAGAAGAAACAACAAAAGAAACAAAAAATATCACTAAACCTACTTGCTAGCTTCAATTCTCTACACACAGAAGTGTGCCCTAAACAAAACTTGTTACTTTCCAGATCCTGAAGGGAGCAAAACTCTACTGATTTACTATGATCACCTACATAATAAGAAGGAACCATAGGCGAGAAAATGGAAGAAAATGATTGGTCTTAAAGCATGGATGCTTCTAGAAGCAGAAAATATATAGAAACTTAAATAATAATAATAAAAATAATAATAAATTACCAGTTAAGTTGTTGTAACTGATGGTTTCTTCAAGAATTTCTGGCACATGGTAGTGCCATGAAATGTAAGAAGTGGGTGTTCTAAGAACTCTAATCTATCAGAAGATGTAATTTCTGTGAAACCAAAAGCGGACTTCCACATGTTCAGAAGTTCAGGAATAGCAGGTAGCATTAGCCTTTCCACTCCTAATGAACAAAGCAACTACAAGACCAAAAAAAATATAACATAGGGAAGTTAGAAAGCACAAATAGAGAGAAGGAATAATGATAACAGAAGCATCATTTTATTAAAAAATCAAAATAATGCCAGAATTTTGTTTTGAAAGAGAGGATTTATGATCAAAATAATGTCAAATAAATTTTTGTTTGGCGAAGATACTATAAGAAATTTTAAAGCTAAAGATGAATAAATCATGGTACCTTCTGCAATTCATTCATTAGAATGCGACACATTCCTTGTCGGCGAAATTTCACACGGGTGCCGATAAATGGCATTTCTGCAAGCCTTTCACCATGTATTCTAAGCAAAAGAGAAGTTTTTTTTTAGATTAAAAGAAGATTAAATACACGAAGAAGAATAAACGGTGCCTTATTCAACAAATTCTAATTATACCTTAAAGTAGCCACACTTATAAGCTCATCTCCACCCATTAACATCATGGTATAAAACCCCCAAAAGTTCAATCTATTCAACTCAGAACTGCACATAATATAATCAAAAGAAATTCATTATGATACCAAGAGATGAAGGATGAGTACTCCTATAATTTTGTAGATAAATTCTTTTATGGAAAATTTACAACAAAATTTAAGCAAAAACAAACTCATCACATACATAGAAAAGAAATTGGCAGAATATCTTGCTAATAATGGAGGAAAAAAAAAATTCTGCCAACAATTTACATGATCAAATTAAATGAATAATAAAGGAAGGTTTCTTACATGCTATTGAAAATGATATCCGTAGCAAGGTCACTCTGAGTACGTGCCTCAAACAAAGGCTCAAAACATTCATGCAAGACATCAAGTGCAATATGGAGCATTCCTGAATTCTCAACTACAGATTCATCATCAAGTTTGCCAAAATCTTCTATATTTGATCTCCAAATAGTCCAATACAATCCTTTCACATGACTAGGATTCGGGTTCCCAAGAAGTGATTGAAGATGAGAAATAATCTACAAGATGAAATTAGAACATTAGAAAGACATTATCATTGTTTTAAGGAGAAAAAAGGATTGGAATGTATATCTGTAAGAACATAGGCTATCAATGAACTTCGAGATGAAATAGGAACATTAGATAATTGAAGAAATTTCATCTTCTTGAGAAGAAAGAAGGATAAGGAGGAGAAAATAGTTTATAAGAACACATGCCATTAACTTAAATTACTTTCATGTCATAAGCTGACCGTTACAAAAAAGGTTCAATATATTTAAACTGTATCATCTGTAAAGCAAAGTTCAATAGTTAAAGGTATATATTCATGAGAACAAAGAATCATCAATGGTAAACATGGAATAAAATTGCATGATGGTGTAATTGCAAATTATTGATTTCTCACCATTATTATAGTGCTCAAGAAACACCTTAAATTGAAGTAAATAACCACTCAAATATGTAATAAATATCTTAAATAACCTATAAATTCCAAATAAATCAATAACTAATTTATGATGCAATAGAAGTTAAAGCAATTATGTTCATATATTGAAAAATAAAAGTCAAATTTCTAATCCACTTGAAGTACCTTCGAACATGCTTTACTGCAAGTCCAAGTCCCAGTTGGGCACTCTTTTAGCTCCAACCCTTGTTTTTGTAAGCAACCGACATGATCTAGATAAAAAATGGATTTAAGCCAATTCAAATAAATCACTAGAAATCATGAATAAAGAGAATTTGCAACAAAAGAATGACTTACATTGTTGTTCACATTGATCACAATAAATCCCTGAGTTATGGTTGAAATTCTCTGCATCACAATTAAACTTGCTAAGACCACAAATTCCACATTGACATGATGGGCAAAACCATTTACCTTCAGGCACATCCTGTATCAAGACATTAAAATAAGCATGTTAGATATAATTTAACTATAGTAACATCCTAATATACTTATCAAGAATTTCTCAAAAAATTGTTTAGCACAATGATGTCAAAAGCACAAAGATGCCAAGAGGCGGCACTTTTGAATTGATACAGGCAAGGATGCTTTTATACACTATGTATAAAATGCTTGTACAATCCATTACAGATATGCCCATAGTTTGTATAATCCTTATACATACCATACATTAAAATAAGCATAATGTGCATAAACTTATTCATAGTTTGTATAATCCTTATACATATCATGCATAAACTTATATATAGTCTGTATAATATTTATACATAGCATTTATATAATATTTGAATAAACTTGTATATGGTGTATATAATACTTCTAAAAAGTGTGTATAATGCTCTTACATAGAATGTATAAACTTGTAGATATTGTGTATAATGCTTATATAAACTTGTATATAGTATGTATAATGTTTGTACTTAGCATCTAAAATACTTGTATAAACTTATAGATAGTATACACACTTTTTAAAAGTATTACATAGAATGAATTGATACAGGCAAGGATGCTATCAAACAGAAATGCTAAATTACTTAAAAAAGAAAAAGAGAAAGATAACTATTCAAAAGGAAACACTATGTTCAAATATAATGGCATATGCCAAGCAAAAGGATTCCATTGATTGCAAGTTCCACAGTGATTGATAGATAGCTTTGTCCATATTCAAACCGGTGACATCAAGGTGATAATAAGAGTATAATATCCATTACAGATATGCCCACCCTAAAGTCTCAAATTAAGTTATTTAATGGGACAACCGAACACACATATACATTACTACATACAAATAGGCTCACACAAACATGCAAATAGAAATGGGTTTATACATGAACACAATTACATGTAGACATGCATGCACATAAATACATATGCATGTGTGCGTTAGCACACATGCATATGGACATACACAGATAGAAGTTCAACAATGAAATAAATCTAACATGCTAATGCTTGAAAAAGATATATATCTTAAGATTGTTGAAATATATGTACAGAAGTACATAATGACATGCATACACAAGCGTACATATGAATGCGTGCAAAAGCACATATGCATATTCACATACATAGATAGAAGTTCTACAGTGAAACATATCTAACCTGCTAATGTATGAAAAAAATGTATATCTTACGATTGCTGAAAAAGTTAATCTTATACAAGAATGCAACAAGGAATATTATAGTTATGATAGTAGTAAATTATTTTGTTAGTGGGGAAATCACAATAGCTTGATCTTAAAAAAATAAATAAATAAACATTTGAAATGAATGAAGTACTACAAAATCAACATGCGTATTTGCTATAAATGTTAAAAGAATCTTCAAAAAACAAGTTACTTTTCAAGAGAATAAGACAATGAAGGATGAAATGAGAAAAAATGCTAAAGAAATAGTAAATTCTAAAAGGTTTAAATTGGTTTCGAATCTTAAAATCCCTACAAATCGATAAAAGACAAGTATTTGGGATAAAAATAATGATCATGATGATGCATTATTTTAGTAAAATAGCTCTCTATAGGCACATGTAAGTTATCTTAGTTAAGAAAGAAAGAAATGAGGTACCTCTAGACCAATACAAGTTGGATGAAACGCTGATGGACAAAGATCACATAACATTATCAGACCACCATCTCGACAGACAGTGCATATATCATCAGCTTCATGATTGGAAAAGTCTCTTCTTAATCTTGAATGTTGGAATTTATTTGGCTTCAAAGCACTTAGAATCTGCTTTTGGCAATCTAACAACGACCTACCATCTTGTAATATGATATTGGTAGAAGGTCTTGAAGTTCTGCTTCCAGCATGAGCTCCAAACTTGGAAAGAGGAAACACCTTTAGGCAACACCTAC